AATAAAAGCAAAACATATGGAAGTAGGAAGACATATTAAAGGTATAACAAGTAAAAATAAATCTAGGGTAAAAGTAAAACAGATACAGGGAGATGAAAGGAATAATCAAATAGTACCTAAATAAAAACAAAATGGAGCTAAAATTAAAACAGATGGGAAGCGAGGATTAAAGAAAAAATAGGATAGGTAAATACGAATGTTTGAAGATAATTAAGAATTTGGGGTAACAGAAAAGGAAAACGTAAGAACAAAGTTGAAAAAAAAGTAGTAAAATTTAGATAGGGGACGGAAATTTGGAAATTAGAAATTAGCTTTAGAACACGGCAATCGGGTAGATAAATATAATAAAATATAGATAAAAAGTTAAATAATATCTGAATAAAAAACACAAATGTAGTAGTATTTTGTGTTATATAGAATTTTTGAGTTGGATGTTAGAAATACAACAGTTCAAACAACAAAAATATAAAATTAAAGAATAAAACATTAAAATCAATACCACATCAATTTTGTTATAAATTAATACAGAAACGAGTAATTTCGGCCTCACAGGGCTATCTTCAGGCCCATAATACAATAATGCTTAATTATAATAGGAACAATATAAGTTGGTCACTTACGATTAAAATTAAATAGTTAACAGTATGTATAAAACACTAAAATGGATCCACTTTGTAGCATTACACTATTGTAGAATTAAAGATCATAAAGTTCAGAAGCATACAAATATTTTGAGACCACTTTTCGACTTTTGGTTCCGATTTTCGCCAGATTTCAATTTTTTGCATATTAACCTCTTTGCCGACTCAAAAAATGGCTTTAATATCATCTAAGATTCAGAAAAACCGTTGAAAAGGGAATTCCTACACCGGAAGTAGCAAAACCGGACGAAAAAATGCTTGCAAAGAAATTTCTTTATTGTTATTAACGTCTTAAATGAATTTCAGTAGTCCCATGTCTGCTCCAATCACCAGGACATAGTGTATGTTGTTAATCCCCTCCCCTGTACCAGACTGCAAATAGCAAGCAAAAAAGACAAGGTGTGGCACCTTGTCTTTTTGCAGTCAGCTGAGGGACTACTAAGGACTCTTAACTTTCACTTTATTCAATGTATTAAAAGAAGAATATTTAAAAAATAAAGTCCCCTATTTATAATTTGTCGTGTGCATCTCGGATAAATGTGCATGCATCAAATTCATTAAAATTGACGTTTCGCCATAGCGCTTTATTTTCCATAAGAAAATAACGACTGATAAAATAATGGCTTGAATATGATCTCCGTCAAAAATAATTTTTCGTAATAAAATCTAAACCTTTTTTGAATTTCATTAAAATTTTGACAATAAACGACATACAGTAAGTTGGAATCATATGGAAAACTTTTTTATTATTAAAAAAGTTATCCTTCATAAAAAGTTCTGAATTATCTAAAACCTAGAATACAGTCATCAAATATCAAATTTTTTCAGTGGTATACGAGGTTTGTCAAAAAATATGATTTATTCTTTATACGACTGATAAAATTTGATATCTGATGGTTGTATTTTAGGTTTTAGAACATGCTCGACTTTTTATAAAGAATAACTTTTTTCCAATATTAATAATACAAAAGATTTTCATATGCCGCCGATTTACGTAGACAGTTGGTGGCATATGAAAGCTTTTTTATTACTAATTTTAGGAAAAGAAGTTGATCTTTATAAAAAGTCGAATATTCATGGTATCAGGAAAACGGAACACACTAGTTCGCTCCGGCGGTCAGATTTTAATCCCCGACCCGAAAAGGTCATAGGTAAGTTCGCTCCGGCACTAAATTTACGAGGGATGATTTAATTCCAGGAAGGACATTCCCTTTAATGTGTTTATTGGATTTACATTTTCATTGCTATAAGTATCTTAGATTGGGTTTTTCGGCTTATTTTTATTACCTGGAAGGAGGCTCATTGAAAACGTAATTAATAGAATTAGGTACATTTTTCTAAGTGGGTCAAGTATGTTCTTTTATTTTCATTATTGTGAAAGTTTTAGTGGAGTCAGGGTGAAAATATTGATTGATAATTTTAAAGTAAAAACAGTTAAAAATATGAATTCTGCTGAAGTTAGTGAAATGTTGAGTGAAAAGGGAAAACCTATGATGATAATCAACGGTTTTAAGTTTAACTTCCATAAAACGTTATCTGGAAATGTAAAACGGTGGCAATGTACGCAACGAGGTGGCTGTAAATCTTTTATAAAAACTGGAGGTTCGAACACTACCATCATTGACTATTACGAGGTTCATAATCACTCAGCCGAATTAACATCAACGTTAAATCGCCAACAATTAAGTAACTCGATAAAAAGACGGGCAGTTGAAGACATATGTGAAAAACCATCAAAATTATTGCATACGGAATTAAAAAAGCAGGATGTCGAATCGTTAACCGTTAATGACGTGTTTTTGATTCGAAAAAATATATATAACAACAGAATGAAGGTGCTCCCAAAAACACCAACTTCTCTGCAAGAAGTGCAGGAAACCTTAAATAAAATGATGGTGGTGACACATAAAAACGAAAACTTTTTAGTTAAAAATGATTTTGACACTAATATAGTCATTTTTGCATGTGAAACAAATTTCAAGTTTTTGTGTAAATCAACAAGTGTGTACGTTGACGGAACATTTAAATGTTGCACGAAATTTTTTTACCAACTTTTTACCATCCACGGACTCGAAAATGAACATTATGTACCATTGGTTTTTATTCTTTTACCAAATAAGGAGGAGAAATCGTACAAAAGTGCCCTTCAGTTTGTAAAAGAAGAGTGCTCTAAACTAAATTTAATATTTAACCCGTCGGTAGTTTACGCAGATTTTGAAAAAGCAATTCATAATGCAGTTCATAAGATTTTACCAGCTTCTACAATTAAAGGATGCCGATTTCATTTAGGACAATCTTGGTAAGTTTATAAACAATAAAATATTTATACAATACGCCTTATGATTATTGTCGATTAGGTGTTTCATAAGATGTTAAGTATTAAATCAACCTCTACGATAATTTAAAAATTTTAAATAACAGTTTAATAATTGCTGTAAAAGAGAACATAATAAAACAATTATTATAAATCTGTTAAAAAAGTAAAACATCGTAGAAGATGATTTTATTATTTAAGCTCACTTAGTACTCTAACCTAATTTTTTTTATTTGAATTTCTTTAAATAAAATAAATGTCAAGTACTTGGAAAAACTGGAAGAGAAGCAGATACTTTCAAAAAAAAAAAGCAAACTCTGACAGTATTTTGAGTATCACAGTTACTATTTATTGTACATTATACATTACATATACCTAAATTATATTTTAATAGGGTCTTAGGCAATATCTAAAAAATAAACAGGTACATAATATTATCCATAAAACTAGTTTTAGAAACAAGCCTATTTCATAGGTATATTGATAGTTCCATCTCGTAATAAAAACCGATTTTTAAAAGTGAGCTTTCCAGACCGAGGCGTTACCGGTGGCCTACCTCGTTTGTTAACAATTTATGATACACAAATTTAAAACACTATTTATTGATTTAAAGATTAGCACCTCACTTAGAATCAATATTATTTTTTTCAGGTGGCGAAAAATACAGAGTTTTGGATTGGCCTCAGAGTATTCCAAAAATTCTGATATTAGGAATTACCTAACATATATTTTTGGGCTACCATTTTTGAACCCAGAAATGGTTGGGGATTGTTTCGCTATTGATTTAGCTGCAATAATGCCAAACACAGAACCCATAGTTAAATTTTCGGATTATCTGGTAGATAATTACATTGCTGACGATGCATTATTTCCTCCTTCCATGTGGGCTGAACACAGTTCCTCAATTCAGCGAACCACCAACGCATGTGAAAGTTTTCATGCAAAATTTAATGCTCTGTTTTATTTTCCACATCCAAATATTTTTCAGTTTTTAGAGATTTAAAAAAATATTCAAATAGATACTTACATAAAGATTAAAAGTTTAAGTTTACCAAAAAAAGTGTATCGGAGAGAAGCACGTTTGAGGAAAGAATTTGCAGAGAAACAAATTTCTCTGTTAAATCAAAATGATAATGCATATACTATATTTGATTTTGTTAAAATTATGTCTCATAGGTATAAGAGAATAGAAAAATAGTTTTTAAATAATAGTATTTTTAGGAACACTCAAATATTCGTAGGTACCCGATATATTGTATTATAATTATATTATTTTAATATGTATATATTTTAGTTTTGGTAAATAAATAATAGCTTTTTTAAATAAAACAATCTTTTTTATTTTTTAATGTTCCAACACAAGAACCTACCTGGGGCTAATCGACCCCTTTGTAATCTACCTGAGGGCGGTAGATAAACCGGAGCGAATTAGTATAGTACCTTGGGAGCGAACTAGTATACGATTAACAAGCTCGACTGACCGCGGGAGCGAACTAGTATGCACCCCAGGAAAATGGAGGCCGTTAAAAGACCCAAATAAGGCAGAGGGGAACTTGAGCGATTAGAACATAATCGGACTAGTCAAAAATAGCCCGCATGACAATATTTTTTTTGGAAAATGTTTTGCTTATCTAAAAGTATAATGAAATACAATGAAATTCGTATGTTTAAATTCAAATTATCAAAAACAGCTAGTCAATCATAATAAATTTAAAGCGGTAACAGATATTTGCGTTACCGTGTAAATGTGTCAATTTTGATGTTGTACTTTTTCTATAAATCTCCCTTTTATTTTAAATGTGAAGAGTATATTATATTGCCATGTAAAATTAGAGCTTACAAAATATATAATATTAATAACAAATATATTTATACGTTATTTTTAATTTAAATATATAATGTTCGAAGTTGACGGTTGTTTGTCATTTATTAATAGAATATTGTCAAGATTAATACCATAAATTCCAAAAAAACAAGAAAATATTCTCAAAAAAATTCTACCCTCGCGTGGTATTTCAAAAGATTATTGAACAATATAAACATACCTTTTATAAACAACGTGCTTTGTTTCAGTAAGTCGGAAGCGATATCGATTCCTTATTTACAATGTATATTTGAACAACCAAAACGATTTTTGTCCAGTTTTTGTCACCTTTTTGACAAACTTCACATTGACGTTTCGTATAAATCATTGATACGCTACTCTGGGATTGAGCGAAAACGCTGAACCTTATACTGCGTTTTCAGATATATTTTGTTTTAATTAGCGTGTTTTAGAAAAAAGAGGATTATCATTGGTTGATGTATATTTCTGTTAAATAAAATCATTACTTTTATTATCAACTGATGTAAATGGAATGAGTGTACGATTCTGTTGGCAATTGCAATAATTAATATATGCGTTACTTTCCTCACTTTGGCCATATTTGTTACTTTTTACATTCGAGCATATATTACTAGAGCCATCGTCCAAATGGACTTTGTTTTGGTACAGGGGGAAAAATAGTGTCCAGCATTCCCATTGATCTGTTTCGTTTTGCTTGGCATGTCAAATCGTTTGAAATTATCAGAACTGTCATTTGAATTTTGATTTTCATTAATTTCTAGTTTATTTTTGTAGTTTATAAGTGATTTTTCGTATTTTATTACTTTAGTGATACAAATTTTAACAATGGTGAGATTTTGTGCAAGTTTTAAATATAAATATGAAAAGGCATCGTTAAGGCCATTTCACAAGTAAGTAACTATTAGCGTCTCTACCATTTTTAAGAAGAAACATAAGTACCTACATTTTATGCAAAAGGCCATTAAACATGAATTTAAAATAAATGGTAAATTAAGTGAATTAAATTTATGTATGAGGAATATTGTTTTAGATTTTGGACTCTAATGAAAAGTTAAAAAAAATTAATCATAATTTTTCAATTTAAACGAGCTTTTCGTTTTTAAGTCATTTTATCATGATAATGTTGAAGATGTTAAATCAATAATTTTTGTTTTTGTAGGTTTCCAACTAATCCTGCCGAAAACCGCATTTAGTGAAACGTATTGAAACTTACTTCAAATAGTGATGTTTTATGTTCCAATCATTTTTGGGGATATATGTTTATGTCAAAGACTGGATGCGGAGGAAGAACTAGATTAATTCCAGGTGCATTGCCATCAGGATTTACTGAGGCCCCAGAAGAAGATAAATCTATAAGGTAAAGAACCCTGCACTTTTGTTGTGGGTTAATCGTTCAAAATTTTTAAGTTTTCAGTGATGATCTGAACCATAAAGCCTCTGTTGCAGAAAACGAAAATACAGAATTAGAAAACATATAAGTAACTAAGTACTTTTTAATACAACATAAATTTTATTTTGAAATACTTACATATTACTACCTATATTTTTTATAAACTACAAAAATTGACAATAGTTATTTTTTATTAAATGTACCTATGTTCTTTAATTAAGTAGACTGCTAGTAGAAATAAGCAAAGCCTAATGTGAGTTTTTCAATAAAAGTAATTTTAAGCTTCTTTTATATGCACTCCTAGTCATTAAGAAATAATCGAAGCTTAAGACAGTTTTCCAATAAAAATTAAGCTCCACTTATTTGTTAACGACTGGCAGTGCAAATTTCCCTAATTACTTAAGTATTAGCTTGATTTATATTTGTAGCATATCGTTTAGTAATCTATTGAACATTGTTTATGAACATTAATTAAATATTTAATAAATTATTGGAAAAAATTCTTTTTTCTACGAACTCTTACAAAAAGACATCTTTCGCCACAGGATACTTTCAGCGAAAACTTGATTTCCGTCACTAGTGAGAAAAAATCCCATAACGTTTACTTTCGTCTCTAGTGACGAAAGTAAGTTGTTACATATTTTCATATATCAGTCGCCTCGTATAATATTTTGGCAGCTTATAATTATTAATAATGAAATAAAAAGATGCTCATTAAATTCTTTATGCGTTTTTACCTAAACTTTAATGAATTAAAGATAAAATAAAAATGTATAAAAATAGTGCAAATTAAACCAATCTACATCTAGTTTCCTGGTTTTCATTTGTTTATTTGAAGTTTTATCACTTTTGAGAACTGTCAGTTTCAGTTCGTCCTAAATTTAACACATTTTCATGATGTCTGAGTCAGAAAGCGATTGTACTCCTCCAGAAATTATTTTTAAAGCTGAAGAAACCTCTTTAGATTTATTACCGGCTAAATCAAAAAAGAGATATGAAGAAATTTATATCAAATTTTTGAACTGGAGAGAAAAAATAAAGTGAAATCATTTTCGGAAACTGTACTACTAGCATACTTTGGAGAAATATGTTCAAATTTTAAACCGTCGACGTTATGGTCCATTTATTCGATGCTAAGAACTACACTCTCTGTTAAAAATGATGTCGATATTAGTAAATATCCAAAGTTACGTTCGCTTTTGAAAAAAAAATCTGATGGTTTTAAAAGCCAAAAATCCAAAATTTTTTCGCATGAAGACATAAAGACTTTCCTAAAGAATGCACCTGACTATAAATATTTAATAACAAAGGTAACGGAATTATTATTTTTATTTTAACAAATACTTAATACATAAATACTAATATTTGTAGGTGGCATTAGTTTTTGGATTATCTGGCGCTTGTCGTTGCCACGAACAAAAAGATTTAACAATAAGCGATGTAAAGGATACTGGAAGTATTCTGTTACTTAAAATCCGTAATACAAAAACAAAAGTTCCGCGTTCTTTTCATATTTCTGGACCCTTTTATGATATTTCTAAAAACTATATGAGCCTACGTCCCGCAAACATGGATCAAATTAATTCAAGATTCTTTATTAACTATCAGAATGGAAAGTGTAGCAGACAGGTTGTTGGAATTAATAAAATCAGTAAATTTCCTAACGAAATTGCTCAGTTTTTAACGCTTCCGAATCCTCAAGATTATGTTATGTTGATAATGGGGTGTTAATAATAATAAAAGATCTATTGTGCCCCCTTCTGTCGCCACTGCACTAAGGAAATGTCTCAATGCCTATAGCGACCCTTCCAATCCTATTTTCTCAAGGAAGTGTAGGATTTGAAGTGGCTTCAAGTTAGGTAAGTCTCCCTCTTCTATTTGATATCCTCCTAGATATAGTGGTCTTGGATTCTGGAGTGCTACACATTCAGTTAGGATGTGAATGGAGGTTTCGTCCTCCTCCTCACAGAATCTGCACTCACTATCCTCTACTACTCTCAGTTTACTTAGGTGTCCTTTTAGTCGGCAGTGCCCGGTAAGGATCCCTGTTACAATACGTAGCCTGTTCTTGCTCAGGCAGATGCAGGCTTCCGATCGTTTTTGGTTATATTCACCCAGAAGTATCTTGGCCTGTCTCAGCCCCAAGAGATTGTTCCAATTATCGGTTCTTCTACTACCCAATTCTTTTTTAATCTCTTCTAATATTATGTTACTGCTGATACCGCAGAACGGCTCAGGTCCTACAAAGGGTGTTTGAGCCCCTTTCCTTGAAAGACTATCTGCAATCTCGTTACCCTGTACCGCGTTATGTCCCGGGACCCAAGTGAGAGTAACTCTATTTTTCTCGCCTAGCTCATTCAATTGTTCTAGGCATCTCCATACCATTTTTGAGCTGATTACGTAAGAACTCAGCGCTTTGATGGCTGCTTGACTATCGGACATGATGATAATCTCTTGTCTATGATAGTTTCTCTCGATGTTAAACTGATCCTCAAGATTACACTGGGCACTGTTTCCGCAGAACATCCGCAACGCTATTAGTGGATGCAGGAGGTGACTTGCTTCTGTTAAAAAAGCACGGTTGTTGGAAATCTAGTAGTGTTGCGGAAGGATATGTTGATGAATCCACGAACAGTAAAAACCAAATACAAACCAAAATTTTACAATCTGTACAAAATAAGGAAACTACTAGTTCATCCGATTATGGCGCATCATCATCTGAAATGACATTTAACAGTAGAACAAATATGTCGGCATCTACCTCAATAAATAAAAAGCTTGAGTGTGATACCCCCATTATTTTGAACAATTGTTCAAATATAAATCAATATTTAAATAATAAATAATATTTCTGAAATATTTAATTGTTGGTTAATTTTTTGTTATTCCTAACACAAAATAAAGCATTTGCTAACGTTTGTTTTTTTTTTTTCATTTTAGTAGGTACCTACATGACATAATAGAGTTCGTAGAAAAAGTACAGTGTTTTACTCGTCGAAAATCATTTTCGTCACTCGTGAAACAATATACTATTATTGTAATTCTCGTACACGTGTGTTAATAAATATTTTTATAATATACCTACTATTTATATTTTTGATTTTTAAAAATAATCTTTTATCTCTTTTCTTGCCTATTATTTCAACCTCAATTTTTCCGTTATACACTTTCTGATGTTTGAATTAAAAAAAATCTGATTTATCCAACACAAATAATAATATTATTAATGATTATTTACTATTACTACTTAAATAATGCAAGTTTATAAAATATGTGCATAATTTAAAGAATTTTGAAGGTATGTATTAAATTTATTATTTATATTAATTGCAAACCCCGGTAATAGTGTCTACACATTTCCCCTCTTAATCCAAACAAACGCTGTTGAATGCGGACTCTATGAAATATACAGGGTGTTAAAAAAAAGTGTCACAAAATAAAAAGGGGGTAGTATGGTCCAAAATATGCAGAAAAGTCTTAATAAACATATGTCCGCAAATGAATGGTTTCAGAGATACGGAGTGTTTTGTTTTTGTGTCATTTTTTGATTATCTTTTTTCATTCTCAAGAACTTGCTTTTCTTATCGGAGTCTACCGATGTTTTTTCATAGATACTATTTGCAGTTATTATTTTGTTGCGGGTGAATAATTTTATAAATTTTCGTTATGCCTGTTTACACTAATATTGAATTAGCTGACATGCATTTTATGTACGGTCGTGCAAATGGCAATGCGAGGGAAGCGCTACGTCATTTAACTCTATGTTGTTATTGATTGTTTATAAATATCATTGTTTTTTATAATATTAAAAAATTGTTATAAACACAAAATGGTCCGTATCTCCGAAACCGTTAATTTGCGGTCATATATTTATTAAGACTTTTCTGCTTATTTTGGGTCATACTATTCACCATTTCATTTTGTGACACTTTTTTTTGACACCCTGTATATGCTCGAAGCTTTTT